CACCCGAATACTGATCTCCATTCTCCTTTAGGCATCCAAGCTAATCAGGCACATTTCTCTGCTGACCTCAACACGGAATTCTTCCGAGTGTCGACTCGCGGCTCGGCTCCAAATAACAATATATTCTGGGACGCGATTTTGTATCTCATTGCATGGGTACGTAAATTTTTACAGTCTTGGGGTCAGCCCTTCCATTTTTATCCCTCTTCACCTTCCTACCTTATCGAGCGCTATTATCAGTATCGCTTCTTTACCCCGGTTCTTTGATGACGCATATCTTACAACATTGCTAACAAATGAATTCATTTACCTACTCAAATTTAGCCTGGGGTTCCCATTTGGAGATATGGTGTCGAGAAAGAGGTCAGGAGGGGGAAGCAAGCTCACTTGGAGGAAATGCGCGCCAAGGGTCTCGTGCCATAGATTTCAACTTGGTCTTCATGACACTCCAAAATATCACTCTCTCTCTACTTAGTTTCTCCTCTGGTCGTTCCCTATCTGAGGGTGCAATAGCTAGTACCAATCTGTCACCTAATACGTATTGACCAGGGATAATCATTTACCGACGGCTTATCTATGGCCATCTAGTCATTTATTTCAAGCAATCGCATTATCCTTAGACTGTTCTGCAAACTAACGATATTGAACGGCACTCGAGAGACAATATGCATATACCTAGACAGTGATTCAATAGTACGCATACAAGAGGACGATGAAAAAGGAGTTTTCGGTTTGCTGTTTGACATATGCAATCGCTCGTCTCTCGACCACCACATAAAACATGGGAATGAGACCATACTCGTGATGGGTTTAGACCTCCTTGGTTTTGACGGTACCGCGTAGGAGACCAGTCTGTCGACGTATAAGCCAAAGGTCCAATAACAACGAGAATATGAAACAGGGGGATAAAAGAGGTTTGAAAGGAATCACGTACCCTGCGAGCAGCAATAAGACCGACTTTCTGACCGGGTACAGCTTGTCGCGAGATTGTAGAGGCTTTTCCGATATGCTGATGGTTACCACCACCATGAGGATGGTCTACTGGGTTCATAGCAACACCACGAGTACGAGGCCAGCTGTAATAGGAGAAGAGTCAGGTCACAATCTCTGAAGGGTTTATGGATATCTGAACGTACTTGTATCGCTTAGCCTTAAACTTGTAGTATGCACGTCCAGCCTTCAAGAGTGGTTTATCGATTCTACCACCACCAGCAACAATACCGACGGTACCCCTGGCATTTCCGGGGACAGTCTTCTTAGCACCACTTGGTAGCCTGATACGGGTCTTGTTCTCTTCAGGCGAGTGACCGATGACGGTAGCATAGTTTCCAGATGTTCGAGCTAAGGCTCCACGATCGCCAACCTTCTCCTCAACGTTGCAAATGACAGTTCCTTCTGGCATGTTGGCCACAGGGAGGACATTGCCGACTGCGAGCTGAGCCTTCTTTCCGCAGTATACAAAGGCACCAGTGTGCATGCCCTCTGTTGCAACAAATGTTTCTGTGCGTAGCTTGTAGCGGTATGGGTCACGGAATACCACACGGGCGAGTGGTGCGCCACTAAGGGGTGATAGTAATCAACAAACAAGTTCGAAAGGGTGAAATAGGTTGATTACGAACCGTCCAGCATCATGGATGATTTTCCTTTACAAGCCCACGGATGTATCCATTGCGTTCAGCAAAGTCAAGTGGTCGTAAACGCGCAGGGGCTTTATTGTGATGGATATGAGCTTTGAACTATATATCAAAAGCAGTTTAGTTAGCTCGAGAATATTCACAATTAGAGATTGGAGATCAGTATTCGGGTGCAAGAGGAGGTCGGTTGAGAATGATGGGGCAAAGGGGTATTGCCAAACGGAGTGGAGGATTGGAAGTGATAAACTGCGCAATCAGCTCTACATAATCCAAAATATGATGTCCTTGGATGTAAAGTGGGAGCATAGTGCGCTTATTCGGCTGTACCCGAATTGGAACCCCCGCACTAGACCAAGATGATAGGAATAGACGACTCACCCTTTAACATGGCCGCTGCAGCTTGTTCAGGTGTCAAACCTTCTTCGTGCCCTTCAACCCGCTTGGTGATCTCAGGCTTTGTTTTGTTCTCATTCTCAAGTCCAGGGGACAAGATGGTACCAGGTTGGAAGATCTGTACATCAATATCGTATAGTGCCAATTCAGATCGGAGAGTTTCCGCTAAGCCTGTATGACGATAAGAAATATAACGTGAGCAAATTGTTGTTTTGAGATAGAGGAATGGGAACGTGTGAGTGCGGCGAGTTAGATAAGAACGTTTGTAAACGGAAAGAGAAGGATATGGCAATGGATAATAGCCGCAATGTAGAATTGAAAAGTGATATGAGCAATAATTTGTTAGAATAGGGAGGGGTTAGGTAAGTGTCGAACAGTCGCACATACGACCCGAATTGAGTTGAAGGAGGTGAATGACACGGCGGAGGAATGATGGGAAGGAGCCGATAAAAATGGCAGGGTCTTTGAATTGAGAAGAAAGGTTACGCACCAACAAGCGCATGCTTTGCGGGAGAGTACCCGGCCCATCCGATGAAGCTCATGTAGGCCAAAGTCGAACCCACAAACGCGATCCTGCCTTTCACACCCTGTTTCGC